TTGTCTATCATCTCGTCAATTATTATAGGAAGCTCCCTGACAGTATTGTACAAAGTAATTTTATTTCGACCTCTGTTTTTATGGCAGCAATGACTGTGTCTTCCTGGGGTTCAGGATACTTAGGTATCAATCTAGACAACCCGTCTGCATGATAGATTTTAGTGGATGGGAGAAACTCCATTTTGTAGTTATAATTAAAGAAAATGGTTCCCCATCTTTTCAATCTATTAGCAGTATGTGTTGGCAGATGCTCCTTTGATCCATAGATAGTAAGGAGTGGACGATGGCCTGTCTGTAACAAAAAGTACCTTCCATGAATAAATCTATGAAATTTAGTCACCGCAAAAATGATTCCTAAGGCTTCCTTTTCTATTTGCTAGTAACCCCTTTCAGCTGGTAATAGCGTCCTAGATGCATGGGCAATTGACTTTACCGATCCATCCTTTAACTTGTACAAAATGCATGTCCCGATGCCGTAGGAGCTAGCATTGCTGGCTACAATGATGTCAAGGCGTGGATCGTAAAGAGTCAGGAACAGATCTGATGTAAGGACCTCCTTTTTTTTTCTCAAATGCTTCCTGGTATTTGGTTGTCCATTCCCACTCTTTATCTTTTCTCAATAATTCATTAAGTGGAGCTCTCAAACTGTGCATTCTTGGGACAAAAACGTTGAAATGATTGGCAAACCCTAAAAAACTTTGAAGAGCCGACACATTTTCTGGTGTTGGCATATTCTTTATTACCGTTGCTTTGTCTGGGTCGGGACGTCTTCCGTCTTTGTCAATTATTTGCCCCAAGTACTTATTCCTCTCCAAGAAAAACTCACACTTCCCGTCTTTTAATTTGAATCCGTAATCCTGGATTCTCCTGAACACCTGCCAGACGTGCGATTTGTGTTCCTCGGTGCTTTCGCTTTTCATTAGGACGTCATCGAGATAGACCACCGCAAAATCCAGACCATTTAACATCATGTCCATGACCTGTTGAAAAATGGAAGGGGTGACCTTAACCCCAAACGGAAGTCTTAAAAATTTGTATAAACCCTTGTGGGTGTTTATGTAAAGGAGCTTCGAGCATTCCTCGTCCACAGATATTTGTAGATATGCGTGGCTTAAGTCAATCTTAGAAAAATATTTTCCTCCACTGAGCTTAGCGAATATCTCCTCTGGACTCGGAAGGGGATAATGGTGATCCTTTAGGGCGTTGTTCAGTCCCGTAGAGAAGTCAGCACATACACGAATTTCTTTGCTCTTTTTTTAATATAAATGGTGGGAATTGTGCATTCACTATATTCAACCTTTGCCAGAACTCACATTTCCTCACGTCGCTTCAATTCCTCGTCAATTTGATTTAACGAGGCAAATGGAACGTTAAAAACTGGATTTCCGTCTGGCTTTAACTCAAACTTAGTAGACCTTTTGGTGCATTTTCCTAGACCTCCACTGAAAACGCCGGGAATTTATTTTTAGTTCACCTTTCAACTTTTCTGCTTCGTCAGTCAAATTTTCGACTTTTTGACATAATGAATTAATAGGCATATCCCAAAGTTGAAACTGTTCTAACCAACCAGTGCCGAACAGATTATCCGTATTCTTCATAATATACGTCTTTATTTAAAAATAAAAAAAGTTTTACCTTTGAATGTCACGTTCGTTATAAGTTCGCCCATAAACTTAATAGGGTCGCCAGTTACACTTTTAGCTATTCGGTTCGTTCTTAACAATGTCGGCTAACCCAGTTTTTTCCATGTTTGATAATTAATTATGGATAAGTCCGAACCCGAGTCAAGCTGTAGCCTTATATTTATCTTAAATATTTGCACTTCAATATATTTCCTGATGTTACGATTTTCTGGTTCAACAATTCAACCATTGAATAATTCTTTGTCCGGCTTTTTGCAGATATTATTTTTTTGTTGCTGCATTGTAAGTTTCTTAGCGCAGACTCCCCAGCCATGTCTACATCTTCAGTCGACCGTGAATGGACGGACATTACTTCTGCTTTTTGGATCAAACAAATCACAACGTGGGCAGGAAGCAGGATTAAACCGGCGGACCGGTCGAATAATCTTCGGATTCTCAGGAGACGTATGGGCACCCCCTTAAGTTCGGTTAGGACCGAGTAGACACCTCAACCCAGAGAGTAAGACGCCGGAGGTTGATGGGCTGGGGCGAAAGTGTTAGAAGTTCCATGTTATTGCCAATGATTACGTTACTTTTTTTTTTTAATTTTTAATATGAAACGATAAATCTAAGTGGTATTATGACAATAAGTCAAATGTCCGGGGGAATTATATTTTGAATGTTTCATTTCATTCTGTTTATAGTTAGGGAGGATTATGTGAACATTGTAAACAATTATTCGATTAATCGAAAGGACAATTATGCTAAATGATAATTATTCGAAATGCAAAATTTTTATTGCAATAAAAATGTAAAAATTAAAAGAGGAAATAAACAAATAATAATTATACGAAATACAAATAATTTAGTAAGAAAAA